AAGAGGACAGAGCTCTCTCTCTCCACCATGTGAGAGTACAGCAAGAAACCTGCCATACAAGCCAGGAAGAGAGCTGTCACCAAGAATCCATCCATGCTGGCACCCTGACCTTAGATTTCCAGCCTCCAGGACTATGGGAAATAAATGTTTGATGTTTAAGCCCCCTAGTCTGTGGTATCCTATTATAGCAACCTGAGCCGACTAAGACACAGTCAGATACCCACCTCTGTTTCCTGTTGATGGAAGTATGCATGCAAAGGGTAGATGCACATCCACCAGTACTATAACTCTGGGGCCAGGTTTTGAAGAATGAATGGAAGTCTACCAGGCAGAGGAGAGGGATGAGCATTCCAAGTACTGTCAAAGGCTTGGAGGTGAGCTGAGTTTCCATGCATTCAGAGAGAGGGGAGAAGCGTGGCTGGAGTGCAGGATGCATACCAGGGCTGGCAGTATGATTACTGATTACTGATACCAATATTAAAACTTGTACTAGTGGGTCTCACACAACATCTTGAGCTCCTTCTCTTGCTGAGTTTTGAATGTTTTCAACCTGTGGAAAGCAAATAGCCTAAAACTGAGTTCATATTTGCAAATTTTGTAGTAAATTTCCATTCTCCTGAGAAGGAACCTGTAGGAGGCCTTGTGTGGCACTAATTTTCACTTTCCCACATCTTCACTCAATTGTTAAAGGAAGCTCACTGGGAGGTTACAGCTCATCAATTAGCACAGTTCACGGAAACCAGAAGTGGAACTTGCTGTCTGTCACACCTGCTGGGTGTGAATTCCCGGGGGAGCCCCAGCAGGTCTGCTTCAGAGCTGTCCGCCAGAGCCCTCACTGCCCTGAGGACCAGGAGGAAGCAAGGGCAGGGATGTCCGGCTCAGCTCGGCGGAGGGCAGCATGGGGCCGAGGCGACCACTCACCCCAGGAAGAGGCTGGAGACACACTGCAGCTTCCCCACAGATCAGCTGTGTGACCATGGACAGCTCCCTGGTCTCTGCAACTTGAGGTTACTCTCATGTAACAAAGCAGGTGATCCTACCCTCCTGACAGGAGTACTGCAAGGATTAACATGAGATTTGGCATCAATTCTATACCACTTATGCAACTCTACCTAACAGTGGCTAAAACCAGACATTTGTTATATTATAACAAAAATATATTCTGTTTTTATATATCTGTGGTTGGAAGATTTAAATATAAAAGATATATAAATATTATAAGAAAATATAGAAAGATATATAAAATCTTAGGGGTGGAATAGGCTTCTGGAAAATTATGAGGAAAATATACTCAAACTATAAAATTAACATATTATTATTTAAGTTTTTAAGACTTATTGTATGGCAAGGGATACTCTAAACAGAGTCCAAAGACAAACAATAAGCTAGGAGATCTTTGCTGTACACAGAGCAAAGTATAAATGTATCTCATAGACAAAGCTCTGATTGAAAATTGATCAAGATTCTGGACGGTTCCCCAGGGGGTTGGGACTGATCATGTGGAAGATGTGCAGCCTTATCAGCAGTGTGGTATCATTCCTCACCGTGTGATTTGCAACAAGTGAAATCATTGATTACGGTGCTAGTCACAATTCAGAGAAATACACACTCTCATATCCTGTTTAAAGTACCATAAATTGGGCACCTGGGTGGCTCAGTCGGTTAAGTGTCTGCCTTTGACTCAGGTCATGACCCCAGAGTCCTGGGATCAAACCCCACATGGGGCTCCTTGCTCAGCGGGAAGCCTACTTCTCCCTCTCCCTCTGCCTGCCACTCCCCCTGCTTGTGCTCACTCTTTCTCTCTCAAATAAATAAATAAAATGTTTTTAAAAATTTAAAAATCATAATAAAGTACCATAAATTATAATTGTTTGAACATAGTATACAAACCCTCTGACTCTGCAATCCCACTTCTAGGGATTTATTCAGTTAAAATGCAAGTACCAATATGTAACAATGTGCTCAAGAATGCTATTGCTGATCCAGTAACAAGGCAAACACATAGGCAACCAACACTGGAAACAACCTGAATGCCATATAGGATCATTGTTGAATGAAATGTGATATGACAATACTATGGAATACTTTGCAGTTATGGGGCCACAGTTTCTTATTTGAAACTCTTGGGGCCAGATAGGTTTTCATACCTCGAATTTCTCAGATTTAAAATTAAATAATATATATCTTAGTAATATGAAAATAATATTCTAATAGATAATAATATTTAAAAACAACATATACTAAATATCATGTAATACCTCCATAGGGGTTAAATGAATCACCAACGGGGACCACTGTGTAATCAAATCTATTAATATTTTTCTATCAAAACATGAATATTCCCCCTATGTGGAATAAATAGAACAGTGAAGACAAGTTCCAGGTCAAGTTTTATCACCAAATAAATTACCAAAATAATTGGATTTCTTTAGCATGGAGGACAAGGGATAATGGCACTTGTAGATAGACCTATGTATACTGACGTGGGAAAATGTCGTGATACAGGGCTAAATGCAGAAGTAACTTCTGGAACGACCCATGGAGTATGATCTCATTATTGGAAGGACAAACCACGTCCCAACCTATGTGGATACATGTATGCATAAGCAAAGGGAGAAATGACAGAGAGCCAAGTTACTTAGTAGGGTTACAAGTGCGAGTGGGGGGAGCCATCAGGGGGTTGAAAGGAGTGACTCAAATACACGTTTGTCGTCTTTGACTTATTATAATCAGCTGGCATTACTTTCATAATGCAAATACTAATTTTTTTAAGGACAGGGAGAAATGAAGGAAAACCAAAGAAAAGCCATATTGGAGGGTCTCCAGATCCTCGCAGTGTGGTGGCTGCACTTGGCATACAGGTGTGGATGCAGAGGTGACTGAGACCCTCCCATGCCTCACAGTATTAGAAGTGGGGACTGTGAGGGTGCCGGGGGCAGACTGGCGCTGGCTGGAGACAATGGGATCTGAGCCACACCTGGGCAGGATAACACCGGTAGGAGCAAACACTTAACAAGAAGCCTCCCTACTTCTTGTGTGCCAGTCGCTCTAACCATTTTATGTATATGAATCCCTGGCTCCTCCCAAACGCTCTCTCAGATGGGTACTTTGTTAGTATCACTCCTACTTTACAGATGAGGAAAATAAGTTATTTGCCCAAGCTCAGACAGCTAATCACGACAAAGCTGAGACCCAAGCCAAGTCAGTGTGACTCAGAGTCTGTGCACCCAGCTGCTACGCTGCACAGCCTCTCGGGGGTTAGGACTGTGTGGGTGCTGGTCCTGGCCCCAGAGGCTGCAGCAGGTGCATCTGCTCTAGGGATGCTCCCTGGGTGGACACACTCTGCATCTGGCCAGAAAGGGTTCCCAGCAAGGGTCTGGCTGGATGACTTAGGCTTCACCCACAAGCACCCGAAGCGTATTGCAGATCATCACTGAGTATCTCACCGCTGCCTCCCACCCGGGGGCTCTGGACAGAGTGCCTGACAGAAGCTTGCCCACACATCAGTGCTGGCAGCTGAGCCTGAGATTTGGGATTTGCGTGAAACCGCTGGTGCTTTTGCTGTCCACTGTGGCTGATCCTATCAAGTGCACCTGTCCCATGGGCCTCACTGCACCTGCTCTAGCAGGTGTCTGTCCATCTCATGGAGGTGCCCTCCAGACCCTCCCAATGTCAGTTTTGTGTATGCAAGCCACCTGTGTATTTAAGTCCCAGCCTCTCAAGCACAGCTTTCAGATGTGAAAATCCAACCATTTTCCCATGATGTGAGGACAAAGAGAGAAAGTGATTGCATTTATAGCTAGTATTCAAGGGTCTCAGGGTTGGCTCCTTTTATGTACCAAGTTCCCCAGAAGGCCAGTACCAACTGTCAGGATGTCCCTCCCTCCCTCTCACCCGTCTTCCTTCCCTGCTTCTCTTTATCTCTTGTCTCCTTCTTCCTCTGTCCCTCCTACTTCCTTCTCAGGTTTCTTGAACACTTATGTGCGGGGCCACCCAGCCTATCCATGTCCCATCTGCTACCATTACTTTAAGCTGGATGGAAGGTGGTCTCAATCCCCCAGCCCTCTCCCCCCAGGATTCCTCGGGTACAGAACTAAGGCCCCCACTGACCATAGCAGACAAACAGTGGAACAAGAATGTCTTCTGGGCATGAAAATCCTCTCTCCACCCTTCTTCCCCCACCATGGCCACTCAGCTTCCAGAGCAAGGCAGTCTGGACTCACCCCTCTCCTCTATTTGCCATGAGCTTTTACTCTCCTGAGTCAGTGCCTCCAAAATTTAATCCACAAAATTTTTTATCAATTATCAATATTTTTATTTACTTATAAGTAATATGCATGTGCCACCAAAAAATTCACATTATAGAACTTGCAGATAACATAGCCATTTTTAGTGTGGGTGTGTTCGTTCAAGTTCTACCCCCTTAGCAAATTGCAATTATACAATACAGTCCTGTCAACTGTGTCTCCACATTATACATTAAATCCTCAAACCTTATTCATCTTACAGCTGAGAGTTTGTGCCTTTGACTAAACTCTCCTTCTTCCTCCCACCCCCCAGCCCGTGGCAACCACTTTTCTAGTCTCTGCTTCTATGAGCTTTTTTTTAGATTCCGTATATAAGTGATACATGCAGTATCTGCCTTTCTCCATCTGGCTTATTTCACTTAGCATGATATTCTCAAGGTCCATCCATGTTGTCAAAAACAGCAGGAGGTCCTTCTCTCTGGTGGCTGAATAATATTCCATTGTATATATGGACCACATCTTCTTTATCCATTCATTCGTTGATGGACACTTAGGTTGTCCTAAGTTTGGCTACTGTGAATAATGCGGCAAAACTGGACATTTTCCAAGTATTAGATAAAATACTATTATAAGTAGAAGTTCTGCTACGTTCTTCTTGCACCCACCATAGAGCCCACAGCTTTAAATCGACAAGGAGCTGGCCCCGCTGCCTGTAGCCCTTGCTAACCGGGGTTTCTGTTTCTCTATCTCCAGGACATGTTCACATCACAGATTTCAACATAGCGACGATCGTGAAAGGAGCAGAAAAGGCTTCCTCCATGGCCGGGACCAAGCCCTACATGGGTGAGTGTTCCAGGCCCCTTTGAGGTGCCGTAGGCCCAGTGCCTGAGGCCTCAGCGTTCCAGTCCTTCCCCCTCACACCATGCCCCAGCCATCCCCAGTATGTGCTGGGCTCTCTCACACTTTATCCTTGCTGTCCTCTCTGCCAGGAAGACCTTCTCCTTCTGTGATTTCCAGAGAACTCCTACCCAGCTTGAAAGCCTTGCTTCAGGCTTGGGAAAAAAACACACAAACAAAAACAAACAAAACCATATTTTCTTTTTTTATTAATGTCCGGTGTGGCCAGAATATAACTTTGGTCTTGGTCATTTGGGGTCTATATTCTTAGGTACACAGTGCTTTTCCAATGTGTATTTTCAAGTTGGTTTTTCCTAAGGACCTCTGATGGAAGTTACCATTTTTAGAAGCATTCCATTCCCTTACTTTGGTTTTCTCTAAGGACACCTATTATCTGAATGTGGAGTCTTTATAAATTTTCAGTATTTGTTATTTTCAAATCTTTTGTATCTTTTCTTTTATCTGTTTAAAATCTTTCCCATTTTTCTCTTTCTCTTTCTTTTAAAGATTACCTGTTGTGTTTATTTGCTTTGTATGCTTTCTAGTGAAATATTTATTACTAAAATAATTTCCCCTCTATTTCTAATTTTCCCCTGAGTTCTCTTGCCTGATTTATGAGTTTTTTAATTCCGCTTTATGCTGTTCTTTCATGTCTTGTATAATTTTTTTAATGTCTATATTAAATCTTAACTCTTAATGTCTATATTAATTATTGGTTACTGTATAACAAAGCAAGTCAAAACTTAGTGACTTATACTGTGTTCACAGATGGGAAGAATTGACATTGTTCAAATGTCCGTACTACCCAAAGCAATTCACAGATTCAATGTAATCCCTATCAAAATACCAATTGCATTTTTCACAGTAAAAGAAATAATTCTAAAGTTTGCATAGAATCACAAAAGACTCCTGAATAGCCAAAGCAATCTTGAAAAAGAAGAAGGAAACTGGAGATACCACATTTCCAGATTTCAAGATTTACTGCAAAGCTGTAGTGATCAAAACCATATGGGATGGCACAAAAACAGACACATAGATCAGTGGGACAGAATAGAGAGCCCAGAAATAAACCCATGCATATATGGTCAATTCATCTATGACAAAGGAGACAAGAATATGCAATGGGAAAATGACAGTCTCATTAACAAATGGTGCTGGGAAAACTGGACAGCCACGTACATGCAAAAGAATGAAACAGGACCACTTTCTTACAGCATGCACAAAAATAAACTCAAAATGGATTAAGACCCTAAATGTGAGACCTAAAACCATAGAACTCCTGAAAGAGAGCACAGGCAGAGAGACATCAGCTGTAGCAACATTTTTCTAGATTTGTCTCCTTTGGCAAGGGAAATAAGGCCAAATTAAACTACCCTATGACCTAGTAATTCCACTACTGGATATTTACTCAAAGAAAATGAGAACAGTAATTTGAAATGCATTGTGTATGCATCCCTGCATGTATTGCAACATTATTTACAATAGCCAAGATACAGAAGCAACCTAAGTGTCCATCGATTGAGGAATGGATAAAGAAGATGTGGTGTATATACACAGTGGAATATCAGTCATAAAAAAGAATGAGATCTCAACATTTGTGACAACATGGATGAACCTAGAGGATATTCTGCTAAGTGAAATAAGTCATACAGAAAAAGACAAATACCGTATGATTTCACTCATATGTGGAATCTAAAAAACAACCTTCTATTCAGTAGGTTGTCTTTTTGTTTCTTTCACTGTGCACTTTTGATGTAGTTCCAGTAGTTTAATTGGAAAACGAACAAACAAAAGGCAAAAACAGACCTATAATACAGAGAACAAACTGATGGCTACCAGAGGAGAGGGGGCAGGGGCATGGGAAAAGTGGGTGAAGGGGAGTGGGAGGTGCACACTTCCAGTTAGGGAATAAATGAGTCATGGGATGAAAGGCACTGCACAGGGAATATAGTCAGTGGTACGGTAATAGTGTTGTGTGGTGACAGATGGCAGCTACAGTTGTGAGCAGAACATCACTATGTTGAACACCTGAAACTAATGTAACATTGTGTGTCAACTATACTTCAATAAAAATGAAGAAAGGAAGTTAAAAAATAAGTTTGGAGATAGTAAATGAACATTTTTTTTATTTAAATTCAATTAGCCAACATATAGTACATCATTAGTTTTTGATGGAGTGTTCAATGATTCATTAGTTGTGTAAATGAACATTGTTTTTAAAAAAACCCTTAGTGGCTTAGAACAGCGACAATGTACTATTTCTCACAATCTACCATTTGACTGAGTGGTTCCTCTGCTGGTTTAGGCTGGGCTCATCCATCCACCTGGTGGGTCCGCTGGGGGCTGGGCTCAGCGAGGACAGCTGAGTGGAATGGGTCTTTCTCTACATGGTCTTTCATCATCACAGGGACTACAGTGAGCTTGCTCACATGGTGGCAGTAGTTTCAAGAAGGAGAACCCAGTTCCCACATGCTTATCAAGCTGCTTCTTTCTTCACATTTCCTGATGTCCAGTTGGCCAAAGCAAGTCACGTGACCAGAGACCATGTGGGAGGGGACTGCGGGAGTTGGGGGGATGGATACCAGAAGGCCTGATTCATCTGGAAACCATTAAAGAAACAACCCACCTAGCAGGTTACAGTTTTTCCCTGTTTTTTGTGGGAGGGGGAACACATCTTTCTGATTAATCATCATTGTAAAGTATGTTATTCTGCTCTTTGTTTTCCTTCCTCTTATGATAAGTTTGCATGGAATTTGACTTTGATACTCTGTTTCTTTCTTTCTTTCTTTTTTTTTTTTTTAGTTTTTAGATTTAGAAATTAGTTTTCCTGAACTTTTGGAAGATGATGTTGTTCAGGGTAGCTTTTCTAATTGAACTTCTTCTGTTGTTTTCATGAAGTGTCAAAATCCAAGGCAGCTTGCTATCTGGGATTTCCTGGTTCATTCTACTTGCCTACTTTTATTTTTTTATTTTTAAAGATTTTATTTGTTAGAGAGAGCACAAGCAGGGGGGAACAGCAAAGGGAGAGGGAGAAGCAAGCTCCCTGCTGAGCAAGGAGCCTGATGCGGGACTTGATCCCAGGATCCTGGGATCATGACCAGAGCTGGCAGATGCTTAACCGACTAAGCCACCCAGGCACCCTACTTGCCTACTTTTAGCTAGAGCTTTTATTTCTTTTATCTGTAGGGTCCCCATCCCGCTCAGTTTTAGTTCTACTTCCAACAGTTTCTCCTTGGGGCTCCTTCTAGAAGGGAGCTCCAGCTGGAGGATGACAGAGATTTGGGGTTCCAGACTGACCTGCTCCTGCAGAGCTTACCAAGGGCCCCTTCACCCACCTGACACTGGAATGGACAAGCTCCTCCAGGTTTTAGCCACTGTTCCCCAGCTAGCCAGCTGGGGCCCCCCCGTAAATACCTGCTGGCTGTCTTGCACCTCTCTGTTCTTTGGTCCATCATATGCTGCCTTGTTTCTTCTCTGTGTTTCCTTCTCTACAGAAATCACTCCCATGGGAGTCTTGTCACTGTTGCTGATTTGTTCCCACGCACTTACATTTTGGGGCTTGTGGGGGGACAATTTAGTTTTATAGTAAGTGTTCCTCATGGGTTTTGACTTAGCTATTCATCTGCTCTGTCAGTTTATGTGTGTTGATCTGTAGAGATTCAAAAACTATGTCGTCACCTCCCAGAATTCACTACGTGTGTCACTCATCTCTTATTTACTAAATAAATGAAATAAATGAAGTTTGGCCACAAGTCATAGTAAAAATAGTACTTCTTAGTATTTGCTATGTGCTCAGCCCTTGAACTAAGTTCTTTCCATCCACAGCTTTATCTAATGCTGACAAACTTGGAGCGGGCACAATTATTTCTTCCTACTTTAGACCTGAGGAAACAAGCTAAGGGGGCGTGAGGGACCCACCCAGGCAGATGTTGGTGACAAGAGTCAGACTCAGGTCAGCATGGATACCAGAAGGTATGCATACAAATGAATCTGTTCCCTTGAGATAGTCCCCTTGGGATGCTGGATATTTATACCAATAAGGCCTTCACAGTTGAAGGTCTTTCTGTAATCCCTTTCCAGAAGTTTCCAGAGCTTAGGCCAGTCCATCCAAGGAGACACTGACTTGACAAATGGGTGGGAGAATGGGATGAAAGGGGTGTTAAGGCTGCTGCCCAGGCTTCCGGTGGAGGTGTGTGGGGAGCACAGCAGGGGCTGCAGGCGGGTGGGGTTCCAGGAGTCCCAAGTTTGAATTTGAGGTGTCTCTGGGAGGTACTATCCAGGCTTCTGGAGTGATGCGGACAGCATCCGTGGACTGGGGAGTTACCAACGCTGAGATGCAGCAAAGCCAAGGTAGGGACAGAATCCCCCAGGGAGGATGCAGGAGAGAAGAGCACCAAGCCTGAGGCCCAGGGGACACTGCCAGGAGGAGCACATAGAACTGAAGGAACCATCATCTGCAGAAGGGCAGTGAGGAGAGAAAGATGACATGGAGAGAAGCAGCTCCCATTTGGAGCTGCCTCCATAACCTTATAAAGTTAGTTCTGACTTCCTTTAGGCTGTTCCCAAAAAGCAGATCCATCTCCAGGAATATAGAGCCCCGACCACTGGAGAAATGTAAGGCGGTATTATACCAACCCTTTCTTTCCTGCCCCTGCCCCGCCACCATGCAGAGCAGCCTTGCCCATCACCTCCGCAGAGACTCCACCGGGCCTTCCCCTGTCTCGTTCCCTGGCTTCCCACTGATGTCCTGGCTCTCAGCCTCTGGAAAAGCAGACCAGTGGTGACCCAGCTGGCCATTCTCCACAGTGGCCCCACCACCAAGAGGGAGAGGAAAACCAACATGTATTGTGACCCTGCTGCATGTTTGTCATTGCCTGTAATCCTCAGAAGACCCACATGCAGCTGCTACTTCTCTCCATTTTATCTGTGAGGAAGCTGAGGTCCAT